TTTGCCTACCACTAGAGGTCTTCAAAGAAGATAGGTTGACCCATTCCTGAGAACATTGTAGAGAGGATTCTCAGTCATATCAGGGTAGTCTTTAAGGCCTGGGAGGTCTCTTCTATCTCCAAGATTCTGTTACTCTATGATCTTTTTCATTTCTGATATAAGTAGCTAGATGGAAGCAAGACCAGTAGATATAAGTCACAGATTATTACAACTAGAGAATGCCTACTCCTTAACTTTTTTTTTTATGTGCCATGAACCTCCATGGCAGTCCAGCGAAGCCTATGGATCCCTTCTCAGACTGATGTTTTTAAATGAATAAAATAAAAATACATATGATTACAAAGGAAACCAATTATATTGAAAATGCAGTTATCAAAATTTGAGGGGAAAAGAGAGTTCTCAGGCCCCAGGTTAATAACTCTTAAACTAGTCTAATCTCCTAATTTTACACATGAAAAAAACTGAAGCCACAACTGTTTGGTGGCAGTGCTAGGAACAGAGCTCATGTCTTATGGTTCCTCGTCCATCGCTTAGTCCACCATGCTATAGCTTTACACTTTGAGCTCATCTTATTCCCAGGCAACTCATCCAACAGAGGCTAGCATTCACCACATTGCATGGCACAGAGAGTAACTTTATTGAAATTACCATTGGGTAGAAGATGTTTGGACTGAGCTCAGATGAGTTTGCAAGCTCTCCTTATTTTATGTGGATCTGAAAATGACAGTTCTGCCTTTAGGTCTCCATCTTTTATGAAGATGGAGACACGGTGGCTGGAAGCAGTCTATAACAAGGTATGGCATCACATCATCATATATTCCTAGGGCAGGCCCTGAAGTGGGGTGAATGTGGGGTTTGTTTCTCTGGTGGATGGCAGAATTAAGCTGTCCAACCACTCATGTCAAGTTCTCAAGATGTTGACCTGAAGTACAGATCGTTTCCCCCCCTCCTTCCTGCCGAACACTATTTAGTCTTCCTTCTCAGTGATATCTTGGATAATCCACATTGAAAGAATATTTCAGTAAGAGTTGTAATTTGGATGCGGGAAGGTTCTGAAGTCAACAGAACTGTTTCTGTTGTACATTTCGCAAAATAAACATCCTGGTTCCAAGAACTCAAGGAGACACGTTGTGAATCGTTTTTGTTGGTTTTTTTTCCTCCAAGATACAAAAGTTTTGCAAAACTGCCCTTGTCTTAACTGCATCTGGTCATTCAGGGATTAAAATGGAGTAAGATCTCTGGTATTCATATAAAATGGCAACCTCAGGTGGGTGAGGACACCATTTAACCTCTATGTGAGAGGAAGGAGAATGAAAAATTCTTGTGGCAGTGAGCACCTAGGCAGAACACAGAAAGGGCATTTGGCATCATCTTTGGTTTTTATTTTTGTCCAAAATGGCTGAGAACAAGGTGGTGTTAAGGAACTAGAAATGAAGTATAAAGTTTTATTTCAAATATTTTTCATGATATTTGGTAAATAATTTTCCTCTCTATATCATCACCATCAACAAGGAGAAACTGTGAGCTCTTTGAGAGTTTCTTCTATGCCTTTCTTCATATCCCCAGTGCTTGACACAGTGCCTGGCACATAGTAAGTGTTTAATAAATGCTTGTTGACTTGACTTAGTATAGATTATATGCATAAAACACAACCAAACCATGGAATTATAGACTTAAGTGGCATTTAGAAAATGCTTTACAGTTTACATGTTATCTCATGGGAGCCTCACAACAACCCTGTGGTTATAATGACTATTGTTACTCTATATATAATATACTGAAAATGCAGTTATCAAAATTTGAGGGGAAAAAAGAGTTCTCAGGCCCCAGGTTAATAACCCCTGATCTAAGTCTAATCTCCTAATTTTACACATGAAAAAAAGCTGAAGCCACAACTGTCCAGTGGCAGTGCTAGGAATAGAGCCCATGCCTCATGGCTCCTGATCCATTGCTCCAGAGGGAGAGACTCTAACTAGAGACCGTTTATCCCAACCCCATCATTTTATAAATGAAGAAACTGAGTCCCAGAGACAGTAAGTGCAGCTAGGTGGCTCAGCAGATAGAGCGATGGGCCTGGAGTCAGGAAGACCCAAGTCGATATCCAGCATCAGACACTTACTAGCTGTGTGACCCTCTAGGTCCTCAAGTGTGCCCCTTTGACTGAATCCCTTGGGGATTAGTTCTGTGAACAAAGAGGGCCTGGTAAGCCCTCTGCTAAATATCTCTTCAAATATTTGAAAATATCATGTCCCACTTAATTCTTCTCTATTCCAGGCTAAACATCCCTGGTTCCAGCAACCAATCACTGCATAGCATGGGTTCAAATCTCTTCACTTGTCCTGTCAATTGCCTCTTCAGCTGGTCAATGTCTCTCCCAAAACATGGTACCCACAACTGAGCCCCAGAAGTGATTTGATCAGTGTTTTTATAAACACTTTTTATTAAAGCAAACTAACATCTTATTAGCTTGAACCCCCAAATCAACCCATAGCCTGTGACTAACCTTTCCTCTCAGACTATCACGCACAATAGTGAACTTCAAATCAAAACAAATTCTGACTAGCTAGCTTACCTCCTTGTCTCAAGATAGAAGTGATGGGATACAACAGACATTAATTTCATGTATCGAAGACCCTGACTCAATTTGGAGTGAGCACTGTGAATGTTGGGAGGGAGGGGAAGAGTGAAGGGAGATAGTGATGGTGCAATGATGGTGTTGGGATGCTTAGAAACAATTGGGAAGCTCTTAGGTAATAAAACAAACTCCCCAAAAGCATCTGCAAGCTGAGAAGATAGGAAGAGTGAATTTGTGGGAAGCACATTTTGCCTTCTTATAACTGGGAGGGAGCAGTGGCTTCAATTACTTTAATTTTTCGTTTCAGGAGGAAATTTCCTACCCAGAGGCACCAATGTTCTGAATGTAATGAGCTCCAACCAAGTCTTATAAACTTGGGCAATCAATCAAGTTGCCAATAATGATGTACAGAAAGGGCACGATGTTCTCAGTCCTCTAACTGGGTGCTATCAGCAATACAAGGGAGCTTTAAAAGAGGATCCCCTAACCTCAAAAAATTTACATTTTAATATCAAAAACAAGATTGGCACATGTCAGATAATTAAAGCACAGTACAAGACAGAAAGAAGAGAGAGAGAAAGAATGGGTAAGCACTCTTAGGATGAGTCCTCCTGAGTCCCCCTCTTTACCCCACGAAGTTTAACACTGCTGTGCTCATGGACGTGACCTTTGCCACAGAGAACTTCTTCTGAAAAAAAGAGTGCCCCATCCCATCTCCCAGATTCTTTACTCCTCTTTCCACATAGCCGACGTCATCACCCAATACCACATCACCCTATCTCTTGAACCATTAGACTCAAAGGGAAATTTAAAACTTCCAAAATGGAAGAAGTCCCTTTCACCATCCACATTCAATGTGTTTGTTCGTGAAGAGAAGGGAAAGAGGGAGTGATTTTTTTAAGGAGAAAAAGAAGAGCCAAATGCCTGACGTGAAAGGCAAGTATGTTTGTACCCATGGTCTAACATTAGAGACATTGTTCAAGAGCAGTTCATCCTTGCAAAAATATTATCCTCGTAAGACTGCCAAGCTCAGTGAAAGCATGGGCTGGAAGCCATGGAAGGGCTGTGCTTCTGAGTTAAACCTGTCCCAATACTGCTCCTTGCCTAACTTCAGAAAACTTTTAGGGAGTTTAGTGCTTTGAGGACATTATTGATCTGACTCCTCTGATATCTATTCTCTTGATCCAGTGCTTCTGCTTTAACTAGCTATCTAATTTTTTAAAAATCTCTATCCAGTGTTTCCATCCCCTGATTTTGGAGGGCCTCTGCCTCCCCTTTTAACCCTGATCATCTCTATCCAGTTGTAGCTTCAATCTGAAGTGTCTAGACTCTGGACAAGTCAGTGAATGTCTCTCTCAAGCCACAACTATGAAAAAAAGGAAGTTCAGAGACAGTAGGTGATTGGAAGTGTTTCACTGTAGTAAGGGTCATAACTAATCTTGGACCAGGATATCTTGATGACATCCTTCTCAAGGATGAAGTCAGGTCCTTCTCCTAGTACCTAACGTCTAGATCCCAAAAATTCTTCCAAAGACCAACTCAATTTCTGCATTCTCTCAGTTTTCTATGACTATCTAAGCCTTTCTTCTCCAAATTTCTAAGTTGTTCATAATCTGTATTACTAGATCGTTTATAATACATTTCCTTGTGTTGTTAAGTATCTTTTAAAGGTCATGTCCTATCTTCCCAATTAGATTGCAAAGCCCTTGAAGACAAGGGCCAGGACCTTTATGCTTTTTATCTGTAGCATCTGGCCTGGGGTCCTGCACGCAGAGAGCACTAAAAAAATTCATGTTGACTTCGAGTAAGCAACAGCAACCTGGCGGGGGGGGTGGGTATGCCAGGAAGGGGACAGGTGGCTAGGTTGATGGTCCTCTATCTGGAACTCCAAGAACTTTAGTAAATTGGTCAGTCCAATGACTAAGCAATGCAGGCTTTGAGGAGGACCACCCTCCAAATGGTAATGTCCTATACTTGAGTTGCATCTGCCCATTGGATGCCACAGGGCAAATGGCTATGCCTTATGGCAAGTGAGCAATGGCAGGAAAATCATTCCATTGTTGACTCTGTGCTGGCTTGGGGCAGTCCATATGCAAGCCAAAGAAATTAGCCAAGTCTCTACTTAATGGCCCTATACCATTAAAGCCAAAATGGAGGAGACTTTTTTCTCTCCAATCTCTTAGAAAAAAAAATTGCTTCTCATCAGTTTCTTTCAGCTGTCATCAGAAATTGAGTCCCTGATGAAAGCAGCAAAAAGAAACAGAGTTTTTATTTGGACAGGAATAGGACTGGGTAGAGACACAGTGGAGGGTAAGGGGGTGGGGGGAAGCTCATTTTCAGAAGAAAAAAAACAACATATGAGACCTTGAGCAGTGGTGGCAAACCAGTCTGAATTTTGAGTTGTTATTGCTATCATTGAACCTACTTCAGTCAGAATATTACTGGCACCTGGACGTATTGTACTGGAGACCTGCCGAGCCAACGACACAATCCAGAAGCTAACACTGTCACCTAGGGAGAGAGGAATTCACCATTCAGAAAAAAAAAACGTACCCCCAAAGACATTTTCCCCACAAGGTCTCCCAATTGTATCCTCTCTCCCTCCCTCAGGTTTGCCACTTCTTTGATGCAAGCTCACCTCAGGACAGGGAGTAGGACTTCCAAACAGCAGCCTTGAGCTCCTGCCTTCCCTGTGATAGACAGATCTGCACTTCCTGGTGCAATAGCCCACTTTGAAGGCGACTTCTTTGCTTTAATGAAATGATCTTGGGCCCAGACAGAATTTACTCAGCACCATGAAAAGGCTGCCAGACCCCCTCCAAGGTAGACAACACATCTCCCTGTCTCCTGTTAGCTGCTTCGTTTCCAGAGCATAAATAACCTTCACCTGATTCATTCATGGTCAACCTACCATTTTATTACCCAGTCTCACTCTGTCATTTCTATGGGGAAAAAAAATTATTTACAAATCATTTTCATTACCTTGGGCAAGTGAAAACATTTGGAATGACTATGTGGCTGGGGCTCCCTTTGTCCCATCAGTCCTACTATATCGTCTCTCTCCATTTGGGAAGCTCTTCTGTTCTTTTCTGTTCTAAAGCCGGAGCTATAAGGAGACACTGTGATGCAGGCGTATGTTGTCTGAATATTGCCTTCCTTCAGGAAAGGACCCCTCTTGTCAGCAGGACCCCTGTTTTCTTTGCTTAGGCCATACAGGTACTTTGATGAATTGTTGGTTTACTGAAAAATTGACTGTGGCTCCAAAGGAGAAAGTGAGCCTGGTGGCTTTGCACAGCCCACCCTAAGTCCATTTCACTAGCAGTCATGGCATCACCTCCCTGGTGTCATGATCTTCTCTGAGAACAAAGGACAAATAACAACTGTAGAGTGAAGTTTAGAAAGTGAAGTCTTTTTTCTCCCATTAACTTCCACTGAAAAACTGCAGAATCCTTCCAATGGGGGAAGAAGGATACAACTGTCAGGTGGGAGGCCCACTGGACTTTATGGAATACTGGCAGCTTTGTACCTGCTGGGGGCCCCAATCCCCATCGAGTTATTGCTTTTTTCTTTGAAGCATTATCCTTACTCTGGCATCTTCAGATACTCATGGGCTGTTGGTTAAGAATGAGAATAAATCAATCGGCAGGCATTTTATTAAGTACCTACTATGTGTCAGGCACTGGAGATACAAAGACAAAAATGTAAAAAGACCTGCCTTACAGGAGTCTACACTTTATTGAGGGAAACAGCACATCCCTATAGAAGAACACACAAAATGAATTCAGGATAAATTTTTTTGGGAGACGGTGGATCAGGAAAAAGGTTTCTAACAGAAGGTGGATCTTAGGCAGACTTTTGAAGGAAAAAAGAGGTTCTAAAAGGCAGGAGTGAATTCTAGGAGTAGGAAAAAGCCGTGGCAAAGACCTGGAGAGGAGAGATGGGAGTGTGATGTATAAGGAATAGCAGGAAAGTCAGTTTGGCTGAATAGTAGAGTGCCAAGAGATGAGTAACATATAATAAGATTGGAAAGGTATTCTAGGGCTAGGCTGTAAAGGGCTATAAAAGCCAAACCGAGGATTTTACACTGATCCAAGAAGCAACATTGGGAGCCATTGGAGTTTGACTAAAGGAGTTTCATAGTCATGCCTGCACTTCAGAGAACTCACTTTTGCAGTTGTGTGTGGGATGGATTGGAGAGGGGAGAGACTTGAGGCGGAAACACCAACCAACATCCAATAGGCGAAGAGAAAGGGGATCTACAGAGTCCAGAGTTTGCCCAGGTGTCCAGTGTCAGAGTCAGACAACACTCAAGAGGGGCAAAACAAAGTGGACATAGAGAGATCTGGGGAATCAAAGGTATCCTGACTCTTCCCCGGCTAGCAGTCTGAAACAGGGAAGAGAAGCTCAGGCCCAAAAAAGAGTCCAAAATAAATAACACCAAAGAAAGCAAAAAGAAATTAGTTATGAAGAAGATAAAACACCCAAGGCAAGTAGTTAACAGCCTTTGTATAGAATGCAACCTGGTAGCCCCCTCTCCATCTCCTTCCTAAAACAAAAACCCAAGGGCAAACTCATCCATCCACAATTCAAATAATCAAATATATTATACAAGAGAAAAATCTAATCTTTCAGTCCCTTATCATTGCTCGTGGTCATCCTTTCAGACACCAAGTGGTACGCATTAAGAGCCACATCAGTCATAGGCCTGGGAAGTCATTTACTACCCCTTATCGCTTCCCCCACAGCAGGTGATGGATGGAGTAGGAACTCTGCAGAAGTGGGAGCCCTTGTCTATAAGGGTCTTGCCCTGGATTTCTTTCCCATGCTCTCCCCTACTCCACTTCCTCCAGCTCTGCAGCATCCCAAGCTCCCAATGCTAAGTATGGAAACTCAAGAAACTAGGCAACTATAGAGTGGGTGCATCTCTTAGTATCAAGGAGATCGGATCACTATGGCAGTATCCTGTTCCAGCCTCAGACTTTTATGTGGTTCCTGTCAGTGAGGAACAAACCACAGCAGAGATGATCTAAGCCTTGCCATATTTAATTTTGGGGTTTTTTTTAGGCAATTGGGGTTAAGTGACTTGCCCAGGGTCACACAGCTAGTAAGTGTCAAGTGTTTGGTCTGAGGCTGGATTTGAACTCAGGTCCTCCTGACTTCAGGGCCAGTGCTCTATCCACTGTGACACCTAGCTGTCCCTTGCCTTGCCACATTTAGAAGTAGGATGTTAGAAGCCCCTCACTGGGATGAAGTATAAAGGACAGCAACAACTGTTATGTAAGTCTTAAAAACTCTGCCAGTCATCATCCTCTGGAGCATAAGACTCTCTGCCATGCTTCAGGAGCTTCCATTTCTACATTGCTGCGGGACATTTGGGATGGCTATAAGTGCCAAGAAGCAATATTACACTTCGCTAGTAGATGCAACTATCTAACAATGACTACACTCCAATCCAGGCATTTTTAATCACAAAACTGCTTGTTCTGTTTAAAATGAAGGCCCTCCTTATTTTATCAATTCTATCTTAGGCTGAGGAACACCCACATAGAAGCACCTACTTTTCAATACTTATATGAATGACTATTTCTCTCCCAAACAGGTGTTCCTAGAGGGTACAGATCGTCAGTGCTGGACTGGAAGTATATGCATGGGAACCTACACAAAGTCTAGTCTAGCCTCTTTGTTTTAAAGACTAGGAAGCAGACCTAAAGAGTTGAAAGAACTCTGGGGCCAGCTAGGTTGCACATTGGATAGAGCCCCTGCCCTGGATTCAGGAGGACAGGATTTCAAATCTGGTCTCAGACACATAGTACTTACTAGCTGTGTGACCCTGGGCAAGTCACTTAACCCCATTGCCTAGCCCCCCCAAAAAAAAGAGTTGAAAGAACTCTGGACACAGTCATAGTGAGTGAATATCGTGTTTATTCTGTCATTTTAGGGGGGCTACTCCTGAATACATCATTGAGATACACACTACACGTTTACACATTAGGCTGGACAAATATCTAAGCCAAGTACCTCTCCCTTAGGAGGCTCCACTACCTTGCCTTAGCAGCAGTTGGGGGTTGGCATTGGATAGAAGGCTTGACTCAGAATCAGGAAGACGTGAATTTAAATTCAGCCTTAGATACTTACTAGCCATATGATCCTGGATAAGTCACTTTGTTCCTGTCTGCCTCACCTTCCTCATCTGTAACATGGAAACAGTAAAAGCACCTACTTCACAAAGATGTTGTGGGGCTAAAAATAAAATTTACAAAGTACTTAAAATGTTATATTTAAGACCTGGCTATCATTATCATTACTATTACCTGGTGGGAGAAGACAAAGGAGCTCTTCCAGATAGCAGAGACTAATGAAGCCTGAAGCTTATTTATTTATTAGAATCTATCTCAGTATGGTTAGGTCTTACTAGAAAAATAAAATGCTCTATGCTTTGCAAAGCATTTGCACAAGCATTATCCCCAATTGACCCTTTTAAGGCATTTAGGTGTTTCAATTTGACAGATGAAGAAACTGAGGCCCAAGCAAGTAAAGTGACTTGACCAATGCCACACAGGTAGCAAATAGGTATTATAACCCAGATTTATACAGCTTTTCTCTCTTAAAGTCCCAGGTCTATTTTACTCTCAAACCCTAAAGAAATAGGCTAAGGGCAGGAATTATTGTCTCCATTTTGCTGGTGGGACAAAAACCAAGTCTTAAAGTGGGGATGGTACCTTAATCTCCAACCTTGCAATTTAGTCACTTAACCTTCTTCTTTACCAAATATCCTTATTGCTCTTGGTAAGACATCTGACATTTCATATTCCTATAAACCCCCTCTCCCTGGATAAAAAGTGAGACAGGGAGAAAAATTTCCTTGACTTTACCTGCGTTCTTTCTAAAAATATTACAAGTGGAACAAATTTGGGGGGAGCTTATGAGGCCTCTGCTAAAAATAAACCCCCAAATCTAAAATGACATTAACAGGTACCTGGCCATACGCTTAATAGGCCTGCACCGTCAGCCAATATTTCTGATGAGTTTCATATTTTCCTAAATGCGTTACTTGTGAACCTCGCCCCTCCAGGACCTTTACTCAGTTCTCTACCATTAAAACTACAGTTTAAAAGAAAAAAAAAAACCTCACTTATGCAAGGAAAACAACTGAAAAAACCATGGGTAAACCATGGGGAAATCTAAATTATAGAATGTAAAAACTGCAGCCTCAAAATTTCATGTGAAAGAATGGCTACAAGAAATGTTGGTAGATTTGCTTTAAGGAATAAATAAGCATACTTATTAACACTCTTTTTTGTGTGTAAATAATTTTGATTGTAATGTTTTTTTCATTTGTTTATCTTTTAGACTGAGCTAGAAGTGAAATAAGTTATCTCATTCTGATTGGCCAGGAGAGGGTTAGTATACTCTGTTTCTAACCAACCTGGTTTGCCCATCCTCAGGCAGCCTGGTGGTCCCCATTTTGGGGAGCTAAAAATTGAACATATTAAAGTCAGTCTTAGTGCCAACCTCAATCCGCTTTTATTTTATTTTATTTTGCTGTTTTTGGTTTTTGGGGGGTTTTTTTGGCTAGGCAATGGGGTTAAGTGACTTGCCCAGGGTCACATAGCTAGTAAGTATTATGTGTCTGAGGCTGGATTTGAACTCAGGTCCTCACTCCAGGGCCAGTGTTCTATCCACTGTGTCACCTATGTGCCCCTTCAATCCGCTTTTAGTCCTACTAAGCTCAGAATTCCTGAGCTCAGGTGATCTACCAGCTTTGCCCTCCCCAAGATTACAGGCCTTTATCACAAAGCCCAGACTTTTAGGTGTTTGACACATAAATGTACTAAACATTCAGCTCAACCTTATTTGCTCTGGAATTTGCTTAGAGGAAGGCAGGGGAGTTAGCTCTGCCACTAACAATGTGTGGCCCTGAGTAGGTAATTTCTCCTCTCTGAGCCTTAATGTCCTCTGTAAAATGAGGCTGTTGAAAATGAGGACCTTAGGGCCCTCCTAGCTCTAAGCTGCCACTTTATTATTTTGTTCCTAGATTGTGTGAAAGGTTTGCTTGATTCCAAAATAGGGTAGGCATGAATGAGGTTTTACCATGATGTTGATATGTTTTTCCTCACCAGCTTCGACTCCAGATGGAGGATGGAAAAAGCTCTGACCTTTGCTTTCCCTAGCAACCAAGATGTCACTACGTCAGGGACTTGTGATTTTGTCAGGGTGAGAGCTCCCCCCACTTCTAGAACTTATGGTCTCAGAGAGTTGCCAGAGAGCTGCTCAAAGAGCTTCTGTGACTTACTTCTGGTCACACTAATTCTCTAGAAAACACATGGCTTTTCTT